GGGGATATGGGCAGGGAGAGAAGTGCAGCAATGAATGAATGGAAATCCAAAATCTCTGTAAATGCTCATTAAAATTATTTTTTAAAAAAAGCTATAGATCTCTGCAATTTAAAAAAGATTAGCTAATTTTTTTAAAAAAAAAAAAAAACAAACACCCCAGCATGTAATATTCAGGCAAAGACTTCTTCTTCTTTTAAAAAACTATTCTTAAAAAAATAATAAATAGAAATCTCTCACACCTTGCCTCTTCATAAAAATCACACTGATCATCTTTTCTAAATTGGGCGAGTGATCAGCAAAGTACAAAAAGTGAACAAATAAGAGAGAGTGCTTGAAATAGAAATCATATTGTAAACTCTTAAAATAAGGACTCCCAGCAGTAATAAACCTAATCCCTCCAAGTGAACGGCAAGTGGTTCAATAATGACACACAGAGAAAAAAATTCTTATGTTATGAGGGTTCACAAAGTCTCCCTGTAGGGGCTACATCCACACGCTTTTTTCCGAGAAGGGGTCCAGTGAGGAAGCACTACAAATTGGCTGAACTGTTTCCACAAAAGAAGAAACATGAAAACAAATCTCCAGGGTGACAGGAAAGGAAAAAAGTCTTTTAGTTCCTGGTTGATTCCGAGAAGTGGGAATTAGGATTTCTCTGAATTTGAACGCAATATAAATTTCCTCAAAAACTGGGAAAGCAACACAGCTAAAAAAAGAAGCTGAGAAGACGGTGGGCTTGGGCTTCCTGACTTTAATCCCAACATTCCCTCTAGCGCTCTATTTTGTTTGCTGTAACAGCTTTCCAGTTTTGTGATCTAGTTTTGAAGAATGCAAATGTGAAGAACACTGCAGTTTCTTCGTATGTTATTAAAAATAATTACCTCTTCCAGGAAGTTTTCCTCACTTAACTCCACTCAATTCAACATTTCATTCCTTAATATTTGCTCCCAAACTCAGTTATATAGTTCTTTTATAATAAGCACAATAAACATATTAAGGCATGTATAAAAGGCTCCGCTGCTTAAACTAGCCCACAGCCATCTAGTCATTTCCGATTATTCATGATAACTCTCACTGAGTCTCTGAGGCTGTAAATCCTTATGCATATTTTTTTTTCCTTTGAAGCAACTGGTGGATCTGAACCACCAATCTTTTAGTTAGCAGCCCAACACATGAAGTACTAGGGTCTAAACACCAAATTTACTGCTTCTTTAAATTATGCGAGTGTGCAGCCAAGAGAGAAGGCTAGAACTTCTGAGAAAACAAAAGTAAACAAACAAAAAGTAATTTTAAGAAAAATATGAACTACTGCTCGATTCCTTGTAGTAGTTCTCTGTAGAAGCATTATTCCTTTGCATTCAAAGCATAGAACTGGAGACAAGAGAATTTGGAGGTCCACAGGAATGATTGGGGCATGACATCAACAGAAAAAAGATGATGAAAATTCAAGAATCACAAGACAGTGAAGGCATATGAGGGTCAGGACATGGCAGAATCAACTGGACCAAGCAGCTACTGACAAGGTGATGAAGGACAGAATGTAAGTGATGAAATTATTGTTAAGTGGCCACAGAGCCAAGAGGCCTGTTAGAACCTTGTCCCCAAGGACAATTCACCCTAGAAGAAAAAGAGGCTACATGTGTCTTGAAAATGATGCAGGTCAGTTTAAAACAAAAAACAGTACTGGAGAACCCGAACCTGCCAGGCTCTGGGTTAGAATCTAACGATAGAAAAAGAAAGCAAGCAGATCCTTGCCCACCATGGAGCTCCAAGCACTCATGGGAACAACGCATTTCAGACAGATGGAGTCAGATTATGATAGAAAAAGCGTCATTCACGTTAGGTTGGAGGAAGGAAAGTTAGGGAAAGCTTCCTAGGAGTAGGCTCTTCAACTGAAGTTTGCATGAGAAATAATTAGTATTACTTATTAATAACTAGTAGTGAAAGGAGCCTGGAGAACCAGGGTGGTGCCATAAATTAACAGGAAGATTAGGGTTCAAGTCCACCCAGAGGTGTCTGGGAAGGAGGACCTGGTGACCTTCTTCTGAAAGATCAGTTAATACAAACGCTCCAGAGCACAGTTCCTCCAACACACTTGTAAGGACGTGAGTTGGACTCAAATTGACAGGAAGTGGGGCTGGGAGGCAAAGGGGCCCAGACCAGGTGAGTAGGGCCCACTCTAAGTATACTAAGATAAAGTACAAAGCACAAACGAACTGTATTTATAGCAGTATGTGGAGAAGAAATGGCAGAACAAAGAGTAAATAAATTTCTTGAAAAGAAAGAAAAGCCTCCAGCTACCAGGAGGCAGGATCAGACACGGTTCCTTTCTGCCTACTTGGGTTTGCTATGCGCCCAAGTCCATTCGAGGACATCTACCAACAACCACATTCCAGGACTTGCACTTCCCAGGAAAACAAGCCCTTTCAACTGGAAGCAGGCCCCTGCTCTGCATTCTTCTCTTTGCTCTCTTTCTGGAACATGCCATCATGCCCGAGTTTCCCTTCTGCAATAAGTCACCAGGCACGGTTACTGTGCAATTGCATCACCGTAACCAACAGAAAGACTGGACTCCAGGTCGTGCATCTTGGGAAGCAATAAGGACACATCTGTTCTTCCCAGCATCGACTGCTGTGGAAACAGTGGATTTAGAGGATTTGAACTGAGGAGAGGGGTTGGTCTTGTTTCTCTAAACTCCACACTGTGTTCCCCTGAGAGCACCATACATTCTCCACATGACTGAGCTCGTATTTAGATCAACTGGGGAATTTCCTCCAATCGCAGATTGCAAAATGACCACATGGAGAATTCTCAAATAATTTCCTCCTATCGCTGCAAAATGACCACATGGAGTCTTCTCAAACAAACACACTCGAGGAACACCCTTAAAACAGATAGGAAATGTAGGGCCACTTGGTGACAGCTAAGGACTTCTTGTAGTGCTTTCTGAAGCCCAGCTAACAAAAGCAGACTAGAGGCAAGAAGCTGCACTGCAATCCCAAAGTCCGGCAGTTCCAGTCCACCAGCTGCTCCACGGGAGAAGGACGGGCAATCTCCTTTTTGGCGATGAACTGACAGAAAACTGATGGAGTGTCAGCTATGAGTCAGGTCTGACTCGACGGTACACAACAACAAACAAGAAGGATATACACAGCACAATATAATACTAAGCTAACAGAAAGATGAAATGGAGTAATCTTTTACAAATATTTGGAATGAGATACAGATTATTATAGTTAGGCGCCATCAAGTTCACTACGACCTGTAGTAAATCTATGACCAATAGATCTGAACCCTGCCTTTTCCTTTGCATTCCTCACCGTCTATGATACGCTCACGCCCACTGTTTCAGTCACAGTAACAACCATCAATGTTGTTGAGGACCTTCCAGTCCTTCTCTGACTCTGCAACTTTCAGATCAGTAAGTACATATATTCAGATGGACGTTACTCCACTACTTGCTTTATCTTGCCTATCACACCTTCCACTTGACTAAGAAGCGCCTTGCATTCATGGCTTAATCAGATCTCCATATTCTCTAGCTAAATATCAAATAAGTCTTATTTCATTTCATTTTTGAAGTGTCATTTAACTACACATCTAACTTTTTTTAAAGAACAATATCTCTATTCAACTGTTTTCCTCCCCCCACCCTCACCCTCACCACTGGTGACTTTAGGTGTTGCAAAGCTCCCTAAATGGTTTGGAAAAAAGCTTAAGAAGTGTTAGTAAGGCCCATCTTTTCTTACAGAACATTTCTACCAAGGTATTCTTCCTACCTATCCAATTTCAAGAAAATAAGTTTTTAAATTATGGCTACCATACTGACTTAGAATTCTAATGGTAATCAGCTTGTTCAAAACGACAGACTGAAGCACAAGTCCATTCCACCACAAATCTCAGTAAGCATGAGGGGAGTCCTAAATTTGGTCAAATGTGTCAACTTTGAAAGTTAGCAAGGGCCAGGCAAACAGAGTTGAAACAGAGTCTTCACTTCATCGGGCAGGTTAACAGCAGTGCTCTGCTGCCTTCTGGGAGGTTAATTAACGTGTGGGCTCATCCTCTGAGTCATGCTAACCCAGGGGACACGGAATATCCACACAGGGGGAAGGCGATCCAATTTGATAAAATGACTATCTCTCTATATACTTTGTGGTTCTGCAGGCAAATTTACTCCCATGATAAAATTAACACAAAGGGCCAAAGAGCCATGGCTTGACAGAGCTCTAATTTCAATCATTTCTATTTACTCCTAAAATATTCTTCCATCATAAACGCTGTTTGTGAAAGCCACCCTGTAAACAAATTTCACTCTGATCATAACCTAGGTCACCAGAGACTTCTGGGAGTCCAGCCTGAATAAAGACAGCAGCAGCAGAACCGCCCTTTCAAAGAACCATTCTGAAAGACATACAAGAAGCTTTCCAGTGTTCTCTTTTAAAAAAATGAAAGGCCCATATTTATGCCTGCACACCAATTTATCTATTACACAGTGTGAATATTTTTATCATAAATGACCTCTTCGTAGAGAGAAAAGAACTGAAAGAAGAAAACAGTTTGTGAATTCGCTTTCTCTTACTCTATAGTCCCCATTCTTCACATAACCTGCAGGCGGCATTTGCTTATGTAAAACCCTTCAGGGATGGATGGGATACATGGCTTTGCTTATGTGAAACCCTTCAGGGATGGATGGGTACACGGGCTTCTCTTTTCAATTTTGCCCCCAAATCTGTTCTGCCTGGAGCAGCTGACTATTATTTCTTCAGAATGTTTCTGAAATTCACCCCTATGCCACCACTTCCACCAATACCGCCCGACTGTAAATTTTCTCACCTCCCATTTTTCTGTGCCTAATTGCACACACCCACGTACACATATATGTATGCATTTCAAAGCATGTACAGATTGCTTGGAGAGAGACATTATGCTTGAAAAAGGTGGTGGGTCGGTGAAAGAGAGTATGACCCTCAACCCGATGGACTGACCACAGCGACTGGAGCAATGAGCTCACATGTCAGGGATGATGAGGACAGCACAGGACAGGACAGGGTTCAGATATGTTGTTCACAGGGTTAACATGAGGTTCACATACTCAACTCCAGGGCACCTAACACCACCACCACACATACGTAAATTTACATATATCTCACAGCACATGTGCACAAGTTTGTATACACGGACATGCATTTAACTATAGAGTTAATTTTAAAAAAAAATAGTATCAAATCTATTTCCATTTATTGTTGTTCATTTTATGTACCACAGAGTTGGAACTGACCCATAGCTGGCCTTCCAGAGGGTTTTCAGAGGCAGTTAATCGCACTGAAGGAGACTGCTCATCTTTCTTCCATGAAGCAGTTGGGGGTCTCGAACAGTGTGCCTTTGGAATTGCAGTGCAGCTTCTTGCCGCTAAGCCACCAGAGCTCCCTTTTCCATTTAAAGTAACCCTAAACTTGCTGCCCTTAAGGTTTCCAAGGCTGTAAACTTTGTGGTTGGAAGCAGGAGTGGCATCCACTTCCTGAACATCACAACTCTGGAAACTCTATGGACTTGGATAAATGTCGATAGTTGTAGAGGGGCTTCAGGTCTTTTGTTCATAGGGTCGCTATGAGTCATGCTCAACTCGAAGGCAGTCAACAACAACAACAAATACTTATGGAGGGAGCTCTAGTGGTTTAGTGGTAACGAGTTACACTGCCAGCCCAAAGGCAGAAGGTTCGAGTCCACTCACTTCTCTCCTAGAGGAAGATGGGAGTCTCCTTCTTTGCAATTTGTAGCCTTGAAAACCCACACTAAAGGACCAGGCAGCTCGAAGTCGGTTCCAACTCCACAGCACTCAACAACAGCAATCTCTAAGGCAGCAGATTACCAAACCTTTCTCCTGTGGATTGATGCGTGAAGTCAACCTGCCAACTGCTTGGTTAGCAACTGACTGCTTTAACCACTCCATCACCAGGGCCTCTTACACACGTATATACATAGGCAGAGATACATACACAGGATACTGAAGGAGAAATTTTGGAATAAAATTTTTCCCCGTTCACACACAAACACATATGCAAAAATGAATGAATAAAGCTTACCGGTTGGCCTCCCCACCATCTGTGATTAAATTTCTCTCGCCCTCGAAGATGGAAATTAGCATCAAAGACAGGATCATACATAGAATTGCCAATAATTCCATGTGACTCTGGATACAGCCCCTTGGTATAAAAGCAAACTTAGAGTTAAAACAACAATAAGGTGATTCACCTGTACTACTTCCCTTAGCAAGTCTCCTTACATAGCAGGTTTTATAACACTAGAACTTCCAAATGATATAAAATGTATGCAACCTTTATGTACATCTGCTATCTAGACCAACATGAAAACTATTATTACAGCTCACAAAAAAAGAGTTAGTCTTTTTTTTTTATTTTAATGAAAATTTACAGACTTTGGATTTCCATTCATTCATTATTGCACTTTTCTCCCTGCCCACCACTTTCCCCAACAGTTAGTATTTTTAAGTGTTGTCATTTAATATGATGATATAACAATTTTCTATTCCTATAAATTCACTTTAGTTTGAAATTTACATATTTGTCACTCAAGGAACTTCTGTTTCTAAATAAACTTTTTCTTCTTCCTCATTCTATTATTTCCCTAAATCAACCAAACCTTAAATAATTACAATAAAGTGATAGATTATTTTTAAAGAGGAAAAAAGCTAAACTGAAACAAGTTAAATCTTAAAACATAGCAGAAGTCAATGTTATTATTTGCACACTCAGAAAATGAATGCTATAACTTTTTGGCATTTGAAAGATGCTGTATGTATTTTGTTCAAATCAATCTGCTCCTGAAAGGATGTCTCAGTTTTAAAATTATGATGAAATATAATTGTAACTTAGAAAACTGTAAAGACGCATTTGCAGAGAAAACAGATTTTCTTTGAACAGGCTTTTCAATTTCTCCACTGTAAGTCACTGCAGGATGAAAGTAGCCTTATGAATGCGTATCATTTGAAAAAAGACTTACGGTGGCCAAAGTATATAAGTTAGGGAAGGTTTTTGTTGGGTAAACGGGTCTCATGTAGGGAGAATGTGTGCCACAGGACCCTAGAAACAGAATCCCACATGTTAGAACAAGAACCAGCAAGAATCACATCATGTAGAGAAATCCCCCCTTTTTTTTTTAATTAATTTTTTTTAAATTTTACACTGGTTCACTTACAAATTTCATATACATTGTTTTTCACACTGGATCTTTCCCATTTGTTTTACCCACCCCTCCCTCCACCTATCAAATTTTGTGATCCTATGATTAACCACCCCTCAACCATTCTTATTCTCTCTGATCCCCTCCTCACCACCTTAGATCCTCATATACCTTTTACTAGTTATTTATTTCTACAATAATGGTCATATACAATATTTGTCCTTATTGGACTGAGTTAGTTCACTTAGCATAATGTTCTCCAGTCCCTCCCAAGTTAGGTAGTGATTTTCAAAATCATTGCTCTTACTTGCTGCATAGTATTCCACAGTGTGAATGTATCATACTTTCTTAATCTAAGGTATCAAAACCATACATTGCCTTTACTTTCATATCTCAAATAATAAAATACATTTAAAACTATGAGTCCCTACACCTCAAAGCCCACTGCTGAGTGGTTAATTCCCAGGCCATGGATTCAAAGTGAGAATACAGAATATGAAAATCACTTACTTAGTTTTTCAATATTGGGCATAACCTTGCTGCCTTTCTTCATGTACGATGCACGAAAACCATCCACAGAAAAGATGATCAGTGGAGGATGAACAAACCTTAAATAGAAAAAGCATTAGCGTCTCACTGCTCTTAGTCTTCCTCAGCATTTTCCAAGATACAATTTCAAAGGAGGGCCTCGCTATAATCTGAACTTGAACCCACATAGCTTTTGAGAATTCAGAAGTCCAGGGATTACATGGCCAAAGTCACAAAATGTACCAGGAGAAGACGAGACTCCATATGTTTCTTCCACTGCTCTCTTTCACCTTGTAAACAAGGTTTGTTTATCACCCAAAGAACTACTATATGACGCCTAGAATATCTATTCTTCCAACAAATACCTGGTGGACCCAGTCCAAAATTTCCTCTTTTATAATTTTAGCTGCTAACTCTTCTGAATTCAAGAATCAACTCATATCTCTTTTATGGATCTTATTACATTATACTATAATGATGTTGACAGGTTTTTCTACCCTACGAGTTCCAAAGGGCTGTTTATTTCCATCATTTTTGTTGATTGCTCTCATGAGCTTAATAAAGATCAAATGAACTCATGAAGGAATAATTCAATGAATGAAGGATTATGGCATTTATAGCAGTGGTGCTTTTATGACTAGGTCTAAGCATTTATTTAAAAATATTTATATTTATTTATTAACTCATTTAAAATGTCATTAAATGTATTGAAGATCCCTGATCACTTAAAGACCGCACTGTTGTCTAGTCAGGGCTGGAGCTGATGAAAGAGGATCTTTAATTGATTCTAAAAAGTTCAGTCAGATTTAAGAACTCTGAAAAATGTGAAAAAATATTTCTAATAGTCTGAAACTCATTCAGCAAGGATAGGTTTAAATGTCTCAAAACCACATAAAGAGGGATATTTTTAAATGCTCAGACGAGTCACTTAGAACAATACTACATAAAGATTCATTATTACTGTGGTTCGTATTATCACTTGGAAGGTATTTAATCACATATACATTTCCCTTCCTAGCCCCACCCCCAAAAAGCCTCAGCACACTTTTAAACAGTCATAAATTATTGCCATTTCATTATCCAGATTCAAATCCAAAGAAGTTTCAGTGGTCTATGGGGTTAAAAAAGGGACAAAAATAAGAACAAGTAGATCTCTGGATTCTGTGTCCTAGGTGGTGCTGCCTGAACAAAATGACAAGGAAAAAAATATTTAAAAAATAAATAAAAACACATGTACTACTAAAAACTCATTTGTTGGAAAAGTTTTTCCTGCCAAGTGTTTTAAAGGTCTACAAATTTCCAACAGTTTCCTGGTACATGCAATAATTGCTTTATGCAGGTTCCACTTGGGCTGGTTTGGTTTTTTTTCGGAGGGGGTCTCTCAGGTTTAGCTGTCTCCCTGACAGAAGCAGTGCTTCAGTGCTGTGACAAGTTCGTGCAGAGTCTGATAGGTGTTGCCATGTTGGAAGACAGCATTTTACAGGACATACGGCTCTGCTTAAATAAAAGACCCAAACCAACCAGAGGTAGCACTGAAAGAAGTTAGCACTAGAAATACCTTATTCCTTCTTCAGGGACACACAAACATGCTTTATAAAACCGTCAGCTGAGGTGGCATACAGGGAGGACGCAGACACCAACAACTGGACACATGCACAGGCAAAGCCACCAGTTACCAGGCAGTCAATTCCAATTCACAGTGACCCATACACATTGGACTGGAACCCTGCTCCATATGGTTTTCCATGGCTGGATTTACAGAAGTAGATTGCCAGGACTTTCTTCTGAGGGATCTCTGAATGAAAGTCAACCTCCATGCTTTGGTTAGCCATTTGAGCACACTAATCTTTGGTACTATCCAGTGACCCCATAGGTGATTGTTGCTGTTATGTGCCATCGAGTTGGAACGGACTTACGGTGGGCCCTCTAGTGGGTCTGCAGAGGTGGTAAATCATAGAAGATTACCGATCTTTCTCCCTGAAAAGCTGATGGATTCGAACTGGCTATCTTGGAGTTGACAACCAATTCCTTACATACTAGGCCATAGGAGAAATTAATAAGCAACCCCCACTGTAAGATAGAATGTCAGCTTTTATCTGATGAATTACTCAAGAGTACTCAGAAGTAAGTATGGCAGTGTTATACTGCTTCTCTTGCTTACCCATCAATTCCCTCTGCTGTTTTACATTCACCAACTAACACAAAGCTATAAAAGGCTCAGAAAGCACACTTACCCTGCAGGGCACTCTGGAGCCTTTATTTCCTCACAGTCGTCATCTACCCAGTGTGATTCTCCTGCACAGAAAGATGGGCAATTGCTGGTGAGTCTAATCAGAAATACCACTCAAAGCCTTAACAGTACATTCCTGGACCTGCGTGCTAGCCCACGCTGCTTATGGAACACAATCTAAAAAAGAAATTCTTTTTTTTTTTTTTTTCAATTCTTAATTAGAATTTACTGTCTGTTCTAGCTTCCTAGATTGTAGCCAAACATGATGAGACATGACCGTTTAAAAACCTCAAGTGTTACCAATGCAAGTCTTCGCCATTTAAAGAGCTTGCAGATTTTAAAATACACCAGTGGCCCAGAGGGCCATTTACCTCCATCAGTACAAAAGTTCACGAAGATATTGTTCTACAGCCTAGTTTAGGGAGTCACGTCTGGGGCCTGAGATGACTGTGAGCGGCCACCTAAGATGCGAATTGGTCTCTCCTCATACAGGGCACTCTTTAAAGGCAAGGATGGTGCAGCTTTTTCTCACATGCACTGCGCATGCTCTCAGGACGGTCCAGTCCTTGGAAAAAGGTGTCATGCCGGGCAAGATAGGGAGGATTAGTGAAAGAGAGGAGGATCCTAACCTCCGTAGATTGACACAGTGACTGCAGCAATAGACTCGAGCATGTTGGACACAGGGAAGATGGTTTAGAATGGAGCAAAGCTCCAGTCTGCTGTTCACAAGGTCTCCATGAGTTATAGTCAACATGGCAATACTAACAACAACATAGAGAGGCAATGAGAATGAAGGAAATAAAAGTCTCGAAGAAGAAACCAGTGCACCAGACTAAAAGCCCACAGACCACAGCCTGAGACCAGAAGAACAAGATGCCACATGCTACTACTTCCAAAGACTCAGTCCAGGGATACTCTAGAAGGGCCAGCAAAGAATGAGAAGAAAATGAAGAAGAAAAATAGCAATCCCCAACAGAAGGCTAGAGCTTCTGGACTGAGAGAAATTAGACAAACTCCCCAGACCACTAGCCCCAGAGAGCCTTCAAACTTGAAATGTGAAGCTATCTATGTAGGTCACTGTTCAACAGAATAACAATTTGACCTATAAAGCAAACAATATAACTCACAAATAATGTTACCTTGAAACAATAATATGTTTCCATGAAGAATATGTTTCCAAACATGTTAACACAGTTAACATTTACCCAAAGCAAAAATGAGAGGGAGGATGGGGGCGGGCAGGGAAGTTAGATCAATGGAAACAGAATAAAGAGAGTGGAGGCAATGAGGAGGCTGACACATTGTTGAAATGGTAAAAAACAGCAAGAGACAATCTGTATAAATATTGTTAAAGGAGGACCTAGCCTGTGGCTTGAACTCTCTCCTAAAACATAATAAAATAGTATTTGTTAAAATATACAGCAGTGGCATCAGTGAAGAAAGTTTTACATTTATTGTTGTTGTTTTTGTTAGGTACAGTCAAATCGAGTACAACCTATCATGACCCTATGAACAACAGAGCTGAACCCAACCCTATCCTGTGCCATAAGGTGTGGGTTGCAGTGATACTGACAGTCACGCCACAGGTGTGTCAAGTGCCACAAGGGTCACCAAGAGTGGACAAGCCTTAGTAGAGGTCTCAGATTTAGACAGACTAGGAAATAAGACTGGCCATCTACTTAGATTTCAGGCCTCAGAAAATCCTACGAACAGGAGAGGAATGCTTTATGTTTGTAGCTCTGCAGAAATAAACTAAAATAAATGAATAGTTGGAAGATTCGCTCCTGGAACTAAACATATCGAAACCATAAACAGCATGGCACAGCTTCTCATTAGAGAGCAAATGGCATCTTAAAAGCCACAGAATGATAGGTAAAAGATTGCAATACAGAGATCACGTGAAAATGGGTCTTGTGTACAGACCAGGAATTTTGGAATTAAAACCAATGCTATCCTTTGTTTTCATCTGCCACAAATATCTTAGAGTATAAACCTAAGTCACATGTTACTCCTTTCGGAGAAAAGGGCCAAAATGTTTAAATGAGGCTTCCTTTGGAGAAAAAGAAAAATATCTCCCAAAAAAATGATCATAAATTGCCTTAAGCGGAAGGAAAATTTGTGTTCGACTTCCACAAAATGCCTCTGCTGTAAAAAATTTTAAAAAAAAATATACCGGATATCTACCATAGTAAATAAGAATCTAAGTACTGATGACGGTGTAAGCCGTTAGCGTTCTACTTACTTAAAAGAGGGTAAAGGAGCCCTGGTGGCCAAGAGCTTAAAGCACAGTGCTGTTAAACAAACGTGCTGGAAGCCTGGAATGCCCAGCTGCTCCAGAGGGTAGCCTGAACACCCCAGCCACCCCACAAGATAGTCTGAACACCCCAGCCACTCTGTGGGGTAGCTTGAATACCCCTGCCACTCTATGGGGTAGCCTAACACCCCCCCAAGGTGCTCCAGGGGGTAACCTGAACCCCCCAGCCACTCCATAGGGTAGCCTGAACCCCCCAGCGGCTCCAAGGGAAAAAAATGTGGCGGATTGTGGTCGGCTTCTGTCAGGATCACAGCCCCGACGGTCCTATGGCTCTGCTCTGCTCTGCTCTGCTCTGCTCTGCTCTGCTCTGTCCTATTATTTCACTTTGAGTCAGAAAGACAATGAGTTAAAGGAGGAGGCTTTACCACACCCGTGACACACACAGTGACCAATGACATGTAGGTCTTTTCTCATTGAGCTTATTTTTCTTCTACTAGCTTTCGTGATCTAATGGAACACTTGTTATATGGGGAAATAAGACGCTAAAGGAAGTAAATTTTCAGTCAACTTTGTGCTTTGTTAACAGTTACAGGAATGGTTTGGGTAGGGAGACATTTCCAGAGTCAGGACTAATACAACCCCTGCTTGCCACAACTCCCCACTGCACACATCTCACATTTGACTTGATTTTCCCTTAAAATTTTGCACCAGAAACTCTTCCCACGTGTTCCAGGCCACTTTGCAGTGCCACAGAAACACAGAGGGACTTAATTCAGAAACCAAGAAAGGTGATTTACAAACCTTACATTAAGAAGAGTCTTTCATCTTTCCATTACTTTGTCTAAGTAGGTACTACGGTAAACTCCTTACAAAGCAGGAATTACATTCTTTATATTTTCTGCAGACTCTCTATTTTATGAGAATAAAGGCATTCTATTCTATTTAAAAAGCCGTGCAATGTCAACACATATACATGCATGTGTTTGGGGAACGGGAGCTGGCTGGTCCCCTCATCTACCTGTTCTCCATTCCAAGGCAGCAACCAGTATCTCAGCTAACACAGTTTCATTCTGTGGGTACAAAAGCTATGCTCCCTCATTTCAGAATGACAACTTTCCAGAGCCCCCAGTGAAGCCAGTCAAGTTAAAACTTGACCTGAAAGCAGGTCCTTGCACCTGCCCCACCTCACACCTGCTCCTTCCATATCTGGCTTGCTCACATGATTTTCCTGCAGAGCATTCACTCAGTCAACTAAACACACTGAATCTCTGCTCCAGGCCCTGCTCCTAGGGAGCCCACCTAAGACAGGATGTCTTCAAACTTTTATTATTTTGGGTCTATCCAATTATAGAATTTGGGTTTCTTTCAGATCATGAATTGCAGGGTAGCAAATTGAAGAAAGCAGCATTGGAAAGTACAAAACACAATTCAGTCCCTCCACTCAGTCCATTAGTAGGGTGGCCTAATGGCAAGGAACTGCACTATCAACCTGAAAGCAGGCAGTTTGAATCCGCCAACTACTCCACAGGAGAAATACAGGCAATCTCATCCCATGTGATCGTTGACCCCTGAAAGCTGGAGTGTCAGCTATGGGTCGGTTCTGACAGGATGGTGCATGACAACAACAACAACATATTCACAATCCCCTGGGTCCCCTGGAATATCTCCAGCTTTCTATTTTCAAAGCTCAAGAGAAGAACGTACCTTTGCAAACCACTTGGTAATTAGTACAGCAGTCTCCCCTGGCCAAGCAGTCCTCGGAACAATGGCACGCATTGTCTTCATTTCTTACTTCTCCACATCTGTCCTTCGTACACTCCCAGCCACGAGCTGAAATCATCACAATAAAACACTTTCACTGGAGCACATAACCCAAAGGCAGGAGACCACATTGCTGCAAGAATGAGAATCCCACACCGTTTAATCTGCCTGTGAAATGTGAGTTGGCCTGGTGCCTAGATGATACTTGGAGGACATACAAACAGGGCAAATTTCTAATTTTTCAACTTCAGAGTACAAATTGCAACTTGATTCCTTCATAAAAATGAATCCTGAGAGCATGAAAGTATACCCCTCCTCTTCCTTTACTCCTATGAAGACGTCTGTAAAGTGTGCGGTACTGAAGGTCTGTGACGGGACTACCACCACAGAGATGGGCACAGTAGCTTGACTCTTTTCAGAAGCAGTTTCACTTAACTTTAATCAGTCCTGATTTAAATCTAAATACTGGAGCGACTAAATGGCCTCCACTTGCTATTAGACGTATGGGAGTTAAAGTCCTAAAGAGATGTGAAGTATTTCAGGAGGCATAAAAATACTTAGATGCCAGTCATTGACCAAAAAAGGTGGCCCAACTTGCAATAACAGGCAGAGATCCTACATTCAAGGAGACTGGTCCACGGGCTATAGATTTCTGTCTGAGCATATCTGATTCAGGGCTCAAGACACAATCCTGCCAAGAAGATAGATTTGGAAAAGTAACATATTCCTTTTAACTCAATTCCTTTGTAAATTGGAGCATCGACAGCAATAAAGCTTCGTCTCACATACTTTGGTTATATTGAAGGAGAGGCTATTCCTTGAAGTGGGACAGAGAAGGCCCTTAGCAAGAAAGAATGATGCAGCAACTACAGCAACAGGGATCAGATCTGCTTCCATGGAGTCTCTATGAATCATAGTTAACTCAACGGCACCTAACAACAATATATTCATATTAAAGAAAGTGATATATTCACTTGATTTTTTTTAATCTGCTAAACTATAGGCTCTATGATGTGAGAAATCACAACCCTCTCTTCACCATTTTCTCTCCAGTGCCTGAGATTGTGCTTAGAACACACTGAGTGTTCAAAGAATGTTAATTAAATACCATAAAAAAATCATAACAATATAATACATTTCTTTCAAGTTAAGCTTGTACTGAGCAACACCATAATTAACTCACTCAATCAATCTTGAAAGGCAATTAAATACAATAAGGAAATGATCCTACAATATCACTAAAGAAAGGGACACTATTAAGACATTGAGAAGGATTAATATAAATCAAAATTACAGGGAGAAAGTGGGGAAAATGCAATTACATTATGGATATTGAAATTAATGTTATAAAATGAAATGGATGCATGAGTGAATGAGTCTTTTTCTTTGCAAACTTTCACTCAAATTTTAATGAATACAGTCTTAAATTATTTCCACAGTGTGTTCTGTGTTTTAACTACAAGGGATATCTTAAAAAACAATGCAAATACATTTCTTGTCTTCAGGGAGCTTATATATTTCAACTGGAAAGGTCAAACTGTAAGTAAGTTAATAAATAAAAAGGTAATTTCAAACTGTGCCAACTGCTGTGAATAAAATAACAGGAGGACATTGCTATAAAGAGATGAAGGGGGGGGTGTTGACTTGAAGATAAATAATAACTAAAGCTAAAGAGAGGACTGAGTGGAGCTGCTTAGGAACAAAAGTCAATCACATAGCATGTTCATTATATAACCAATAATTATTCAAGAAAAAACGACTAAGATCCACCATCGTGTGAATCTTACCAAGCTGTGTAACAACAATGTATTCCATCATTTATTGATAAAGAAAACAAAACATTTGCCTACCTGTCTTCAGACAATGCTCGTCAAAGTCATGGCAGCAGCTGCTGTAACTCTTACACAGGTTGTCACACCGACAATCGGGGGGCTCCATCTCTTGGAGTTCATAGCATCTGCCCTTACAAGAGCCAGAGGTGCTGATCCAGGGCGAGTCTGATAACACTGCAGGAGCGAGACGCACAGAAAATGGGATGAGCAGGTGGGTCCTGAAGCCACATAAGGAGGCACGAGGAAGCCGTGCAGTGTGGTGATGCCAGCTGACCCTCTGGGTTGAATGTCTGGCTCCATCAACTAGCTATGAATCCTGGGCAGGCTATCTGACAGCTTTAAGCCACAGCTTGCTCATGTGTAAATGGCAGATTAAGAAAAGTAGCACTAAGTTGTCATGAAAATGTAACAATCCTTGCAAGGCAGCTGGCATGTTGTCAGAGAGTCACAGCACATAGCCAGTGTTGGCTACTGGTTTTACTGCTCAACAATTACTGTTGTTACAAATCTCTGCATGGCTAGAGCCTCTGTGGATGCTATGATGCTGACAGAGAGCTGTACTTAGCCCTGCACTTAGAAACAGGGCTTCTCTAAGGATCTACTTTTAAGGGGATCCACCAGGTATTATTAGCACTCGCCAAATTAGTGGGGGGAAAAGAAAACCCGTAAGCTGGCGTCCACCTGTAAAATCTTACACTTAAGAGCTGGGATTACTCAGATACCAGCTGCAATCTCTACTTGTCAAAAGCCTCTCTTCTTTCATTATATTTTTAGGCTATAATTACACCTTCAGAATTCAAGCTCAACTAGAAATCTCAAAAGTGGAAATTCAGGGAGATAAAAGTTTCACAACTTTGTAATACATAAATAATTAGTTGTTGTTGTTGTTGCCATGTAAGGCCAAGTCAGAGCTGACCCTCCAGTGGGTTTTCAGAGGGTATAAATCACACAGGAGAAGAATGTCCATTTTTCTCTCACAGAGCAGCTGGTAGATTCAAACCATCTGCCTTTGGGATGGCAGTGCAACTCTTTACCCACTAGGCCACTACAACTTTAAAAATGCCTATGGATCATTGGCTCAAGAACTTCACTGCTAGAAATGTAGCTCTCGGTAAAGGGGAACCCCCAAAATGGTTTGCGGTCATGAGGAATCACTCTAGTCATCAGTAAGAGACTGTACAGCCCTTAGAAAGGATGTGTTTCATCTGCAGTATTACGTTGTTGTTGTTGTTGTGACTGTTGAGCCAACACTGGGCTCAGCTGACCCTCCGTGTAGGTTTTCAGAGGCAAGAAGTCACATGGGAGGAGACTGTCCGTCCTCCTTCCTTCTCAGCCGGTGGGTTCAAGCCACGTGCCTCTGGGATTGCAGCACAACTTCTCACCATCAAGCTCACAGGGTTATACTAGTAGATAGATGTTTTGTGTTGAAAATGGATATAAAGATAACATTAAGGAGAAACAGAGATGAGAGAGACAGAGAGGACAGGGGGGGAAAATGAGAAAGGGAGAGAATGATTGAGAAAAGGGGCAGGTAGGCGTTAGTTTTCCACAGGCGCAGGTGTGAACAAATTTTTTTTTTTCACCTGTAAGAAACTACTTGTAATAATTTCTTCTCTGAAAATGATACTGAGAAAGAATTTACTTCATTCTCCTTTCTCTCCGGCCTTCCCAGGTATTGCTTCACAAATGGTCACTACAAGTTGTCTGCTGCGGTCTGTTTGCCAGCTTCTTTATCTCTCTCTGTGTCTGTCTTGCATGCTGTTATTAGAAGTGGCCACACTGATTTTAGACTCATAGTGACTCCATGGGGTTGTTTAATCATCTCAGGGGATGTAAAATCACTATGTCTTTCTCCCAGAGCTCCCAGGTGGATCTGAACCTCAAGTTTTTCAGTTAGTAAGTAACCAAGTGATTAACCTTTGCAGTATCAGGACACCTTGCTTCCTTCAGAGAGATATATAAACATTAGCCTGCATTACCCTAAAAAAGGAATGTCACTGACAAGTGTGTTTATGGTGAGGTATTTGTATGTTCTCTGATGGCTCTCTCCATTAGGAGTTACACTGCTAACCCAAAGGCCAGCCCTTCCGGCAGATCGAACCTACCAGCACTTTATGAAAGAAAGATGGGTAATCTCCCTATCCCCACCCCGACATGTGATTTGTTGTTGCTGAGTCCCATCCAGCTGAGAATGACTCATAGTGACCCTGAATAACAGACCTAAACCCTGTCCTATCCTGTGCCATCCTCATCATCTCTGACACACTGGAGCCCAGTGCTACAGTCACTGTGTCAATCTATTTCATCAAGGGTCTTCATCTCATTGACTGACTCTCCACCTTTCCAAGGAATAGCCTTTCCCAAAGAATATGAGAAGAAGCGTCACCATTCTTGTCTCCAAGGAGCACGCTGGCTGTTCAGATATCAAGACCTATCTGCTTGTTCTTTTGGCAGTCCATGGGATATTCAATACTCTAATACCACAACTCAAAGACATTGATTCTTTTTCTGCCATCCTTATTCATTATCTAGCTCTCAGATGTATAACAAGTGATTGAAAAGACTATGGTCTAAATCAGGCACACCTCAGCCCTCAAACTGAAATCTTTGCTCTTCAGTAATTTGGAGAAGTCCCTGACAGTGGGCATTCCCAGTAGAATACATCTGATGGCCAGGCTGCTGCCACCAAGGGTGTTGGTTATGGATCGATCCATGTAAGATGAAATCACCAACAATTCCAAGGTTTTTTTCCAACTATCATGATACTCATTATCATTACATTGCTTATTGGTTCAGGAGTGAGAATTTTTGTCTTTGTTTGTTTGTTTGTTGTTAAGATGCAATTCGTTCTGAAGATCCATTTGATCTGCTGTGACAAGTGTTTCAAGTCCTCCTTACTTTCAGCAAGCAAGATTATATCATCTGCCTGATATAAGTTGTTGACGAGTCTTCCTCCAATCCTGACGCCACGTTCTTTCTTCATAGAATTCAGTTCCTCGAATGATTTGCTCAGTGTTCAGATTGAAATATTGAAGGCTGCAAGCCTGAAGTGTACCTTTCCTGATTTTAAACCATATAATGTCCCCTGCTCTGCTTGGACAACAGCATCTTGTTCTAAGTATAGGTTTCATATGAGATAATTAAGTATTCTGAGATTACATGTGATTTACAGCCTCAGAAATCCAATGAAGCTCATCTGTGAGTCAGTTCCGACTCCATTGCAATAAATTTCACTTGGTTTTGATGAAGGGGTTTTTTTTTAGATTTATATTTCTTATGTATTTTCCAATTTTTATCACTAGAATTACTATATTTAAAATCAAGCAGAAAATACATAAACAAAATATAATGTAAATGAAAGAGTATATAGAATGTAATGAAGATGGATGAATCACAATGCATATGAATGATAAAAACATTAAATTTTTTAAAACCAAATAGAAAAATAAAAATAGGCAGAGAACAGCTGTGAAATGATGTCTGTAGGTTCAGCTAAGCTATTTAACTGAATATTCTGTTCAGTTAAAGTCATCTATCTAGTTTTTATGACATGAGATCAGCTCAACTAAAGCAAACAGATTCACTAGACCATGGGATGTGAAACGTCTTTGCATGGCTGATTCTGGGATGTGGAAACACATACAAACCGCACCAGTTCAGTTTAGGAAATAACGTCAGAGTCCCAAAGCCAGGCCCTACCTCTAATCTAGAAACCACATTTTCTATTGACTTTGGCCAACATATCAAAAGTGTAAGCTGGACCACAAGAGACTATGAGAAACAAGAGGGGGAGAATTGGAAAAAAAGAAAAAGGAATCTACATTAAAATGAATAAGATCAGGCAAAATCTGCAATCGAAGTCTTCTATTTGCGAAGGGGACTGTGGACACAGAACGATCCCAACATCCCTCCAACACATCCTGAGTAATAGTCGTTTTCCTGGGCTGCAGATGTGAATCTGCTTAGCCAGGCTGATAAGCTGAGACCCAGAGAAGAAGGCACAGCCTTTCTCTGGTCTCCTCCTTTTTACGGTGTCCTAGAACATGTTTAAATGTTTCCTTTTAAACCCATACACTTAGCTTCTCCCTCCTCAGAAGTTCTTCCCTCTGTTACTTTGTTTCTAATATCTCTAGGAATTTGGTCCGTTTTATTGGTCTTTCTTCTTTCCATTCAAATCAGCCAGCTCTTTTGCAGGAAAAAGCTGTTCCAATCGGCTCCTATGAAGGTCCCAGCATCAGAAGCTGATTGGGGTGGTTCTGTGACTGCCCTATGAATCAGTCAGCTTGACGGCCAGCCATGGGTTTAGTAAGGGCTTAGAATCTTTACAGGAGTAGAATCAATTCTTTCTCCCAAAGGCCTGCTAAGAGGGTTCAAATCTCCAATCTTTTGGTGATCAGCCAACCTTTTCTCCCTCACACCACCAGGGCTTCTTTACTGCACTTTATTAATAGACCTAGGAAGAGTCCAGGACCTATAACAATGACAGTCTCAAAAGTCTGCAAGTTCTTCCTTCTTTACAGGGCATGGATATTGCGAAATATGGATGGGGACCCTGTGGTTCTAGGAGGTGTGATGGAAATTGGCAAAGTTGATTCTGGGGGTCATTTCTGAGGCCATCCAGAAGAAGCAGGGACGAAGTCAGAGTGTGGGGTGCATCTGATGGAGGCACGGAGCTCCTTATCCAGCATTTTCTTTTCCAATCATTTTATAAGGTTCAAGTGTACTTTATTCCTATTGGAAAGTGTGTTCTCTTACTTCCAAGATACAATTCAGCTCCAGGATCTTGCCAAACAAATTTTGTAGGTCTATACATATAGAGGGTTGGGGTTTTTTTCCCTAAACAAGGGTTTCAATTTTAAAATATGTATTTATATGTGTAGAGATGTGCATTAGTGTGACAATTCTGTACATTAGTTATTTTTCAAATTCTGTAACTTAAGAGAATCATCAATGTAAAACTTATATATTTCATGCAAATTCAAAGGCGGGATTCAAATAGCAGCTGTGGTGAAGAAATTTTAGTTAAGTAAAACTTTATCTCTAAAATATATCATCTTATTCTCTACATTCAGAGGTAATACTATAGAGCATTATACTCAAGGTTTTTACTCCAAGATACTGGAGAAACTATAATTTCACTAAACTATTAGAAAGAACCTAATTCATGACAAGAG